GGAGCAGTTGATGAGCTTGCCGACGCGCCGCTCGACAGGGCGGAGAGAAGACGTACGACACCTTGGGGTTGGTGATGGAGGTTTCGGCGCCGTCCATCTTGATGACGCACTTGGCCGACAAGTCCTTCTCCCTGGAAGAGCGACGCGGGCGTTACTCGGGCCGAGCCGACTTCATTTGCGATCTCGTCGCGACGGCGTCACGTCACGTTCGCCCGGCGGCCGCCGATGACGACTTGATGAAAAACACTTTTGCGGAAATGAATCCCTTTTGGGCGGAAAGACTTTGAAATGAACCCCGCAGTCGAGCCCGAGTCATTCGTTTCACTCCTTCACTCCCAAAGACGTTTTGAAACGTCTTTTCGGACTCGGTCCAGATTTGGCTGCTCCTGAATGAGACCGAGTCTCGGCGCGACACCTCGGAAAGACAAAAAGAGCGCGAAGCGATCCAATTTTGGACTCAAACAACTGGAATGGTGGTGATCCGGGCCCACCTGAGACGAAATTGGAAGCGATTTGAACTTGACTCTGACATGTTGTTGTTTTGACCAGCTGGCTCACCGTCCGTTCATGGGTCGGACCCGAACAGCCACCCGAACCGATGCCATGGCTCATCCCGCTCCAGTCGGGTCCGCTGACGTCACGCGGAGCGGGTTCCGGCGCGCGCGGGCTGGCTAGCTAGCTAGCGCGTTCGTTCGCCGCTAGCGCGAGCGGAAGGATGACCGGGCGCAAAATGCAGCCAGCCGGCCGCGTTGAGGAAAAAGAAAAGAAAAAAAGAGACGCCGAGGGGGGTAGAAGCGGTACCGGCGATCCGACGGCCGCAGGACGACGTCAGCCGGCGACCGAGCCTAGGCGCGTTCTGATTGGCCAAAAGGCGCCGGTGACGTCTGTCGACAGGAAAGGGTTGCTCTTCTTCGTGGACAATGCGCCAAAAAACGAAGCGGCGTGGCGCACGAGCGCCGCCCAGCGGGACGTCAATCAAGTCCGTATGTTCGCCAGAAGATTCTCGGTGGTTGTTTTTCTTCATCTTCCTTCTAGTGCGGCACCAATACGCTTCCGTCAACTCTCACGTACGTCATCGACCGAATAACTAAATCATGCTGACGGAGAGAGAGAGAGAGACTTGGCCGCCCGGATCAGGCTTGCAGTTTCACCTCCCGTCCTGCTGGTGGCAGCCCATAATAAATTGTGCCGACAAGCCCGCGCGGCGTTTCCTGTTTGGCAGCGTGTGGAAGCAGGAGAGAAAAGAGGTGACCGACCCGCTTTCACGTTTGCGCCCGTTTCCTTTCTTGCGCCGATCAAAATGGACCTTTCGAACGCTGCCGCGACCGGTGCCGACTTTGAAACGGCCTTTTGCGCGAGTCGTCGGGTCAAGAGTCGCCGGCGCGGCTCGGGGAGCTAATCGGCTAGGCTAGCGGCTTGAATGGACGCGGCGCGGCACATTGAGATGCTTCTCACTATAATAAATGTCGGAGCTCATTTTCATACAATTCCGCGAAGACGCACCGGAAGTTGTTTTGTTGTTGTTGTTTTTTTTTGTTTTTGTTTTTTTTTTTTTAATACGATTCCGCCGTCTTTTCCCCCCTCCCTGGTATGACGACATCATTTCAAATTGTCGGCCAGAGGATCAACGGATCAGCATCGAACATTTCCTTCCTTTCTTTCCAAGCCGTTGTGAGATTTCAAATCAATCGATTTTCAAAAATGCAAATTGCGGGCTCGCTTGTCTTTTCTCCTTTGTTGTTGTCAAATGACGCGAATGTGAGCCTGTAAACCGGACCCGATATTGTCCGTTTTGCCGTCCCTCCTCCTGGATTCCAAAAAATAAAAATAAAAAAATGCACTCGATTTGATTGTGCGCCTGTCTGAAAAAAAGGACGACCGCTATTTGTCTTGCCGTAGGATTCCACCATGGACATCCGGCCCAACCACACCATCTACATCAACAACATCAACGACAAAGTCAAGAAAGAAGGTGAGCGAGCGGTCACAGGACCGGGCTTTCTCTTCTTCTTCTTCGTCTTTGGGGCAACGTTGAGGCGCCGCTGTGCTGGTCCCGCAGAGTTGAAGCGCTCGCTGTACGCGCTCCTGTCGCAGTTCGGCCAGATCGTGGAGATCGTGGCCATGAAGACCATGAAGATGAGGGGCCAGGCCTTTGTGGTCTTCAAGGAGCTGGCCGCCGCCACCAACGCCCTGCGCCAGCTGCAGGGCTTCCCCTTCTACAACAAGCCCATGGTAGGGCGCCCGTCGCCGAGGCGTCTCTCTCGCGCCCGCCGGCCGGCCCTTTCGTTTCGCCCACCGCGCGCCCGTTTTCCCCCTCTCGCCCCCGCCAGAGGATCCAGTACGCCAAGACGGACTCTGAGGTCATCACCAAGGTCAAAGGGGCTCATGGCGACCGAGACAAGAAGAAGGACAAGAAGAAGAAACCCCAGGAAGCCGCCGCCCTCGCCAAGAAAGCCGCCACGGTGAGCCCGCTGCCGCCGTGACTCCACCGAAGCCAAGAGCGCCCGCCCGTCCCGATGTTGCCGCTCGGACTCCATTCTGTTATTTTCTTTTGAAATTTTTTTTTTTTCACCGACGTTGTGATTGGAGCGTGATTTACGCCAGTCGATCGTTCGGGCAAATTCTGACGATTGTCGATGCGGTCGCGTCGGGCGGGCTGAGCGGCAACGCAAGATGGCCGCCAACGGCGTCACGTCTCCCCGCGCGGGGTCTCTCCCCGGAGTCTTGAGAACGAACCGAACCGTTTGCGTCGATCGTTCGGGCAAATTCCGATGATTATCGACGCAGTCACGTCGGGCGGGCTGAGCGAGCGGCAACGCAAGATGGCCGCCGACGGCGTCGTCGCGTCTCCCCGCGCGGCGGCATCCGGGTCACGGCTCGAGAGCGACTTCCCGACTTTGCGGCGTTGTGTTCAGGTGCCGTCGATTCCAGCCCACGTTCCCGCCGTGCAGGTACGTGGACGCCGCCGTCGCTCGCGCGGCTAGCTGGCCGCGCGTCGGGATTGGGCGCAGAGTTAACGCTGACTCGGCAGGTTCCCGACAACCCGCCAAACTACATCCTGTTCCTCAGCAACCTGCCCGAGGAAACCAACGAGATGATGCTGTCCATGCTCTTCAACCAGTAAGTGGCGGCGTGCGTGCGGGCGGGCGGACACGCGCGCGTGCGTAACCGCGTGTTTGTGTGCGGCGGCGGCGGCGTTAGGTTCCCGGGCTTCAAGGAGGTGCGTCTGGTTCCCGGCAAGCACGACATCGCCTTCGTGGAGTTTGAAGGCGAAATGCAGGCGGGCGTGGCCAAGGACGCCCTGCAAGGCTTCCGGATCACCGCCACCTGCGCCATGAAGATCACCTTCGCCAAGAAGTAGCGCCTTCGCGGGACATTTTGGCTTTTGTTTGGTAGTTTGTTTGTTTGTTTGTTTTTTTTTCAGGTCCGCCTGCTTGCTTGTTGCCATGCACGGAATCGTTTTGTAAATGGACATAATAAAACTTGGGTTTTTTTGTTTTTTTTTACACACATGGTCAACGCCGTCATCATTCGGGACCGTTCGTCTCAGTGTGGCTGACCGTTTAGGTTTGCTCAAGCCATCTCGCAGTTGCTGTTTTCGTGTTCGGTGCCATTGTCGACTTCTAGACGGCGGCACCCGGCGGCAAGAAAACGGACGCGTCGGCGGTGTTTGTGGCTGCAATCCCCGCGGTGCGCGGGGGATTTTCCTTCCAACAATGAGGAAGCTCAAATGTGCCGTCGACAAAACTCGACCCCGATCGACAACCGACGCACGCACGGTGTGGCGACGCGGCGAAAGCCTCAACTCATCACGATGCAGTGGACCCAACGGGCCGGCCTACCGGCTCGTCGTCGGCGGCGGCGGCGGCGACCTCCTGTTTGTGTTTCCGCGGCAACGGCGCCAGGTAACCGAAGCGAGCGACACACGTGACCGGCCCGGTCAAAAGCTGCCGCGCCTGTCGGACGGACTGCGGTCGTTGAAATTGTCACTCTTCTTTTTCCTCCTCCTCGCGGTTGTTGTTGTTGTTGCGGTTTTCGGGGGCCTGGTGTGGGTCCTGGTGGCGTGCGCGCTGGCGGTTCCGCAGAACCCGTTTGGGCTGGGTGATGGCGGTCAGCGTCTTCTGCTTCGTCGCGACCTTCCTGTGGAGCCTCCTGTTCCTGTGCGGCTGTCATTCCAACAAGAGCCGCTGGGCGGCGGCGGTGAGTACCGGCACGATTGGTGACTTTTATATCGCAGATTTTAAAAAAATAAATAAATAAGGGGGGGGGGGTTGTTCTGATCACCCCGCGTTGGTTGTGACGGATGTTCGTTGGACGCCGCCGACTGGTGACGTTCACGTTGGGAATTGTTGACGTAAGATGCGTTCGAGTTTCGGGAATTGTTGATTGATGATATTTTGGAATGGGGGACACATCGCCAAGTTTGCTCCTCACACATTTGATTTGACGTCGTTGATTCGTCACAAACTTTTATTTTTTTGATTTCCGAAACATCTGACATTTTATTTATTTATTTATTTATTTATTTTTTGGGGGACCAGAAATGATTCGTCTGTCAAATAACTGACCTGGTTTTGCTCTTCAAGAATGCTTCGACCGAGTTGATGTTGAAGGTTGACTGCGTTCAAATGTGATTTCGGATTCGGTTTGCAGTCAGGCCGAAGCGGCCGTCCGTCACGTGACCTGGCCAGCCCCGCCCCCCCCCCCACGTCCGCACCGATCCCTCTCCTAAAAATGTTATGAATAAATAATAAATACAAATTCCTTGTAGTTTTATTGAGCGCCGCAAACAAAACGCTATCCACCCGCTCACGTTTAAATATCTTGCGTTTCCGTCGCATTTTTGCTGCGGCGGCTCCGACGTCACTTCCGGTGGGCGAGACCTCTTCGGACAAGATGGCCTCCGCCGGTGAAGAGGCGACTCGCGCTTGAAGGTGATATACTGCATTGTACTTGGTTCCTTTCTCTCTCTCCCCGTCGCGAACCGTGGCGGCTTTGTCTTTGACGCGACTCGCGAAAGCCAACGCGAGTCTGCTCCGACGTTGAGCGAAATCGGTCGAACGAACACGCCGCTTTCGCACCGAGTTCAACGAAGGCAACTCGAACGCTTCGATTCGGTCCGCTTCACATCTGATGCGCGACACCCCCACCTGTCCCGGTAGTCGTATTCGATGTCTTGTGATCAATACGACAGGACATGATAGCACGTTAAAGCACATCATTGTCAAGTGAACATCATTATTTGGCACGAAAATCCACAAGTCAATTTTTTTTTTTTTTTTTTTTTAAACAACAAGTTCCAATTTTAAAATGAGAAGTGCCCCGGCTGCTTTCCAATTGCAGTGTTTTGGGTTTTGGAAATGCGCTGACGTCAGACCTTCAAGAAGTTTGGACGCGACCAATGACGACGCCGTCAAATGTCGTGACTCTGACGTCACGGAGCACGCAACCGGCGAGCCCCAAACAAAACGCACTCATACTCCCTCTAGCGGTCGGGAATCTCTAGTACAGCTGCACAACCTCATTGCCGACACCGCCCCCCCCCCCCGCGACCAGTTTACGCAAGTGATGCAAAATGTCTGTCAAACGCCGAGTTGGGCGGCACTGTCGAAGTAAAGATGGATCGCATTTCCATCGATTGTACAGTTTTTAAGCCCTGATGCCAAAGTACTACTTTTGTCCCGACTAGCTCTCTAAAAATGTCCTCTCTCTTTTTTTTTCCTCCCCGGGCGACGCAGCTCGGGAAGCGTGGCTGCGATGGGCGTGTGGCGCGACTACAAGGTTCTGATCGTGATGGGCGGCAGCTTGGCTCTGATTCACGCCGGATGGTATCAGCTCAAGGCCCGCCCCCACCTGTACAAGAGCGCGGCGCGCCAGCCCGCCGGCGGCGCCAAAAGCGAGTAGCCGGCGGCGGCGGCGGCCATGAGAAGCGGCGGTTGGCTGC